GATTTAACTTTAGAAAATTTTTGTACTTGGTTAATATAATATTTAAAGAATAATATTATTAACATTAAAAATAAAATTAAAGTTTTTATTTTAAGATTGTATTTTGTCAATATGTTAACTAAAAATATGTTGAAACCACAAAATAATATTAGTTCCCAGCCTCTCAATGCCACCAGTGGTATACAATATATATTGCACATAGGATAAAACGCACTTTGGCTATCTTTTTGATTTATAAATTAGGTTTGTTATGTCATTAGAAATTTTAAGTAATGTGGTTTGATTTTTTCAGCTGAGTATTCTGTAATGTATTTATTTGTCAGGTACAAATTCAATTGGAAAGAAATTAATTACAGTTATTTTGCTGCTTTCAAAATGACGATGATTTTCTTTGGTAAACTTTATTTATGTACGAAGTATATATTTTACAAAGGAAAGGTGTTTTAAATGATGTAAACTTAATCTTTAAGTAGAATTTGGGCGTAATAAATTGAAAATTTAGTAATTAAGAATAATGATTTGTAAATGACATAAATGTACTTAATTAATGCAGCTCTTAAACTGTAGAAAAAAACCTCGTGTTAATACAGTGGCGAACACAAAGGCCGACTAATAAGGCTAATGTCCCACTCATATCCGTGTTATATAATTACTATTTTTAGTAATGTTTATAAACAGTGTATGACTTTAATATTTATAAACTCAGGCGATTAGCCAAATCAATTTTTAGCCCCCTCCATTAAAATATCCTGTGTACGTCACTGCAAAATTCAATTTCAAATTTTCTATAGAAATTTATAATATTTATATAATTGGTATAGTTTTGACATCATCCTTCTTTTGTAGTAAAACTAGAGCTTATTTGAGTATCTTCAATAAAAAATTGTAAGTTTTAAACAAACTATTTTTTTTATTTGAAACCACTAATATTATTTTGTGATAAGATTTTACTTTCTAGGAACCCTTTTTTCGGTCTCCGTTTTAAGCCACCGATTTAAGATAAATGACGCAATTATTGGTGTAATAGCTTGTTTATTTGATATTATTGTAGCAATGAGTTATTGTTTTGCTAATGAACCTTGGCAAATGTATATAAGTAAGTACTATTATATGCAAATTTGTTAAAATTTATTGTGTACATATTGTACATAATTAAAACGTTTTCTCTGTTTAGTTCCAATTATCGATATGTTTCATGGTACAGCTCTTAATATTACTACATCACTTACTTCAAAAATGGTTAAAAGAGAAGAGTTTGGTATGAAGTAATATTTGTTTTTTTTTATAAAAAAA